GAACAAAGGGTGAGACCTGGGTGGGGGCATCCAACATTCCCTTCCTGAATGAAGCACCCCTTCCTTTCCCTCTTGCCTGAAAAAGATCACCCCCAATTTAGTGACTAGAAGCTCGTTGGGACTAAGGGGGGGTCCCCCTTTTACAATTAGAATAGTTTATTGAAATACATAAGAAAATAGGTTTCCTCTATCTAGCTGAAGATTGGTGGAAAACATGATCTTGAATAAGTAATGTGTGCACTTGGAGAAAGTTCAAAAGATGCACACACACAAGGGTTGACTGTGACAAGCCTCCCGTTCCCCTCTCCTTTGGGCGAAAACACACCGAACTACATGGCAGCTTTGCAGAGATGACATTCTGCCAATTGGTGCCTTGTCCATTTTGTCCTTTGTCAGGGTAGCATGGTGTCATATGGGTGTGTTGTTCATTTTTGTGTTGACAGACATACACGTTGCCACCTTCGGTTTTTCCAGACAGTGCCCCAGTGAGTTTGCCAGTAGGGTTTCATGGAGGGTGCTTTCAAGGCAGAACAGAGTCTCAGGATGGCGGGTTTCAAAAAGGAGGCAGGGGGAGGGAAATCCTTCATTTTATTCATTTTTAAATTTTTGAGGCCGGATTGCACTTGTCACCCAACTGGAGTACAGTGGCGTGATCATGGCTCACTGCAGCCTCAAACTCTCGGGCTCAAGTGATCCTTCTGCCTCAGCCTTCTGAGTAGCTGGGACTACTGGTGCACATCACTGCACCAGACTAATTAAAAAAAAAAATTTTTTTTGTAGGGATGGAGTCTTGCTAAGTTGTCTAGGCTGGTCTCAAACTCCTGGCCTCGAGGAGGCCTTGAGGCCATCTTCCTGCCTCAGCCTCCAAAAGTGCTGAGATTATAGGCCAGCCACCTGCCTTGCAGAAGTCCTTTAAATAGCCAACAGGAATGCAGACGAGCTTATCTCTAGGTTTCCAAGCTGCTTTTTGACAGTGCTCTTTCCACTTCTCAAGGTGGGGATGGACTGCCCAGGGCAGGCCCTTGTCAGCTCAGCGCTAAAGGTGGGGCTAGGCAGGGCTGGGGCAATGGATGTCTCCAGCTGCAGGTGGTGCCTGGGTGGGAGACAGGAGAGGTTCTCGCACTTTAAATTAACTGTCCAAAATGAAACCTTGGCTTTCCTTCCGTCCTGGAATGGGCACTCCTGTCAGTGTCGAATGCCATGTCTGCGGCCGCAGATGGCTCATTAGGGGCTGATGGGTAACCGAGGCACCAGGCTTTCTCTCCATGTGGTGACTGATCTACCTCAGGTGGTGACAGGCAAGCATACCTTGGAGCTTATTGATGATAACAGCGATCGGTTTTGCTTTTATAGTGCCTTGCAGCTAGAAGGCTGAATGGATCTTTACAGATATTCATGGGGTGACCAGGCATGGGGAGGGAGGCAGTGGTGGGCAGGGCTGTGCTGTGATCCTAATGAGACGGTTAAGCAACTTGCCCTGTGGCGCTGAGTTAGAAATGAAAGGAAGACAGTCCGGCTCCTGGGCCCTGAGCTGACGGGCTTGTGGACGCTTTACAAATGAGGCCTCGGGCCCCACACGCAGCCTCCCTGCGAGGACGAGGACGTTGCATTTCCTTGGCAGGGAACGGAAAAGATAATGGATTGCATATTGGAATGTGGAAATTGCACAGGCCGGAGGGGTAAACTGGGGCGAGGACATTTTCGCCTAATTGGGGAGATGGTTTCCTCCCGGAGAATTCCACTGGGGGTTGTTTCAAGTGCTGGGAGTCGGTGTGGTCTGGCCAGAGGAAACTGAGCTGGAAGTTAGATGCCAAACCTGTCACTTTAATTCACTCTGAGATTGACCAACTCTCGCTTTCAGACAGCAAAAGAGGGGACTTGCACAGAGAATGTTCCAGAAGCATGCTTGAGTCCCTAGAAGGAGGAAGGGTCATCATTATAATTAGGATATAATTAGAATACTAATCCTTTATAATTAAAAAATAATAATTCTACGTATGGTCTTTTCACTGCCTGTATAAATCGTGGCTCGCTCCCAGTTTTACCCACACCTCCTGTCTCCCCGAGGGCCTGCAGTCAGGATTTTAATTCACTCAGGAAGGTTTTCAGCCAACCAGCCTCATCTTGCAACCATTATGACAGTTAGTGCTGACATCTCAGGTTTTTTCCAAGTTGGTGATGGGGGCTGTGAATGCGATTGCGGATTAGCCTAGATGCTCTGCAGTTTCCAGTGCTTCCCCCTTCATGGAAATCATCAAGTGTTTGTGAATTAGAACTTCCCATGGGTCACCAAGCAAAGCAGATTCTGGAATCTTCTCTTCCCTGGAGATTTCAAGAGACCACTTAATTTGATTTTATTCTTTAATGAGCTGGTGGTTCTTAAAGCTGTTTTCTTGACTGTTTTACAAGTTCTTTTTCTCATCCCTTTATTTCTGACTATTATTTTGGAGGTTTCCTATAATTTTATGTGCCGTAGAAATAGAATTGTAAGCAAGAAACCCAGTGGAGCCAATTGCTTCTGATTTAAAATAAGACATGAACATCTTATAACATTTCAAAGGGAAATTAACTTGTTTTAAAATCTATTTTTGAAGCAGCCTGATTGGTGGACCTAGTCTTTGAAAGTTTGCAGGGTCCTGGCTGCTGATAACATCTGTGGCTTATAACGGCACTAGAAATATTTATAGATTAGTCAGATCATTTGAGAGAAGGAGTGTGTGGGAAATCTCTTTCTTCCTACACTCAGTTACACACAAAGTATTTGAAACTTGACCAATAGGACCATAATTCCATCTGACGCTATTTCCCAGTCAGCTCTAGCATGCCTTAAGATTCTTTTATGAGAGAATGAAACTGAATATGTCAACAGTGAACTGTTCTTTTACAAAAATGTGACTGGAGGCAGGAAATAATTGAGCACTGTTTTAAACATTTATTTTTTCAATCTATAGGTCGTAGTTTTGCTTTCTTTCTCCAAATAAAGTATTCATGGATTCATTTGTTATCTGCAGGGAAAATACTTTTCTTCCATTTACATTTAACTTTTTAAGCCAGAGGGATTGTATGTGCAGAGATATGAAAAACATGAGATAGGGGGCACTTTTCTAAAAGTTTGATGCTTGGAAAACTGCAGTGCTAGCCTCATTTCAGCTTGTTCTGATAAATCATACATTGTATTGTGCAGCAGCAATAGCAATTTTATGGTGGTGCTTTATGCTGAGGGTGAAACCACCTTCCTGGATTTGTTTTTTTTCCGGTTAATGCCATTCTTTGATAGGTTTTGTGGCTCCCTCTAGTGGCAACTGTAGTCTACTGCAGCCCTGGGTACTAACACCTGTGTGGTTGGTTCTGATACTTGTGCTCCTAAATTAGCATATTTATTTTTAAAGTCTTACTGAACCTTAATTGGCTAGGAATAAAAACAAGAAAACATTTGATATATGCTAGCATGATTTAGTACATAACACATAAAAACATCAGGAAAGGTGGAAAGTTGTAAAGGATCATCTACTTCATTCATTCATTCATTCATTCATTCATGGTATTCCTTTATTTATTAATTCGATAAATGTTAGTGGAGCAAAGACATACATGCCAGGCCCTACTGTAGGTGTCAGGAGTACAGAAGCGAAGAAGGCTGACAGTGCTTCTGAACTCATTTATGAGATAAGTGTACGGGCAATGCCATCCAGTCATAAAAACTCTATATAGCCAAGAGAACGAAAGTATTCTGGCATTGTTAAGTGCCTGCAATTAAATTTTGCCAAACCAGCCAGGCTCGGTGGCTCAGCCTGTAATCCCGCGCCTTTGGGAGGCCGAGGTGAGTGGATTGCCTGAGCCCGTGGGTTCGAGACCCGCCTGGGCAGCGAGACCTCATCTCTAGAATAAATCAAAAAGTCAGCCGGGCATGGTAGCACATGCCTGTAATTCCAGCTACTTGGAAGGCTGAGCCAGAAGGATCGCCGGAGCCCAGCAGGTCGAGGCTGCGGTGGCCGGGAGTGGCTACTGCACTCCAGTCTGGGCGATGGAGTGAGACTCCAACTCAAAAAAAAAAAAAAAATTTTTGCCAAACCAAATTTTCCTAATTTGTACAGTTCTGTAAATAAACTTAAAAGTTTACTTATGTGGATAGCAACTAAATAATTCATTTGTTCTTTAGTAAACAAAATGTGTTACCTAGGTATTTTCAGCTCAAATGCAAAACCGTATTTTGTTTCTAGGGATTTGAGCAACACACACACACACAGATTTTAGGGGGGTGATGGACAAGAAAGTCATCCCTTTCTTAGTTGGCACTAATTTGTAGTGGGAAAGGAAGGCTAAATTAACAGGAGTGATTGTGGTCTCTTTTATTGGTAAAAACACCAGGGAGAAAAGAGAGGAGCCGGAGACTAGAATTGGAAACCCGACTCTGCTGAATGCCCGAATCATTGGAAGAACCAATCACAATTTCAGTTCAGAAATACTTGAATAGAACTCCACTTTGTATGTCTTGACACCTGGCAGGTCTTTCTGTTTTCTGGAGAACACTGTAGCAAATGTCAAAGTGAAGGTCAAGAAGATAGAATTGGGCCAAGCATGGTGGCTTCTGTCTGTAGTTCTGCACTTTGGGAGGCTGAGGCAGGAGGATTGCTTGAGGCCAGGAGTTGGAAACCAAACTGAACAATATATCAAGACTTTATCTCTATTAAAAAAAATTAGCCAGACATGCATCTCTAGGTCCAACTACTTGGGAGGCTGAGGAAGAAGGACTCCTTGAGTTCAGGAGTTCGAGGCTGCAGTGAGCTATGATTGTGCCAATGTATTCCAGCCTGGGCGACAGGCTGAGACCTTGCCTCAAAAAACAAAACAGAACAAAACAAAACAAAACAAAAAACAGAATTGGGTCATGGCCATCAATACAGTTGGAAGGGTCACCAATGTATAACTACTCTTTTGACTGACCAGCTCCTCAGAAGTGCCCCGTTTGCTTATCCTGTTCTCTTGCTTGGGGAGGGCAGCGCACCCGGGACATTCCAAGGAGGAGGAAGCCGTGAGCTGTCATGGGCGGACTTCTCAGCATGATGGATCCAGACAGTGTGCTAATGGAGCAGACAGCAAGGTATCGTAATGATGTGTCATTCCACGAGCTTCCTGCTTTCTTAGTGATTGTGTTGCCCCTGTGTAGTGACACTGTTGTCTGAACCTGCAGGGCAACTTTCTGGACAGCTGGGTTGTGGGCTTCTCTGTGACAGCGGGCCGTGGAATCATGCTTGCAATTTCCAGGCTTTGTGGGGAGAGGGTGGCTGAGGAGAGGCCTCTGTAATCAGATTTTTCATGGTTCTCTTCTCTAAGCTAGACAAGCACTCACAAAACCTAAACGGAACAGGGAGCACATGGGAATTGGCTGTAACCTTGCATCATTAAGGAAGTATGGAAAAATCTGAATTTCAAATTCTGCCATGGACCAGTGTCTTTCAAGCAGAACACAAGCAAGACAAATTTGTCTTTCTTTCCTTCTCCACCCCAGAAGCTCAGCTTGCTGGGATGGAATGGAATATGGTATGAGGTTTTTGTACAATCCAGGGTGATTGTAGAACAGAATCTTGAGGAAGGATGGTGACTGAATGTTTTCTAGTGACGTGTTGCTGTTCGGTATTTTGTAAGATTTTAGGTTTTCCCAAAGCTAGACCAGATGCCTGCCCACACAAAGGATTGTGATAACATCCGTTCTCTGGTGCCGGAGGGTCTTTGCTCTGGAATTCCCAAAGCATCCATAATTATTTTAAACTCAAAAATATTTACTTGCATGTCAAGGAGAATACTGCTTATTTTGGAAAATAGATTGTTCTGGGATAGAAGATTCAACACTGGATCACTTTAAAAAGCTGCTTTCTGTCTGACACTAGCTCTAGCCATCTGGCAGATCGGGGCTTTTGTTTTCTTTGGTTCTCTATGGAAAGACAGTCTCACGTAAGACCCGCCAGGCACTTAACCATGAGTGTGGGGCCTGATATCTCCGGCTGATCCCTGGTTTTCCTTTTAAAGCTTGAAGGCTCTTACAGGGGGCAGAGGTGTCCAGTATACTGTAACACTCATGGGTGTGTTTCTGGGAAGTCCATTCTTTCAATCATGGAGCACCCGCTTTTAAAGTAGTGCTCCCTCCCCCTGCTTTTTCTTGGGCCTGCTGGCAGGGCTGTCCCTCTTTAGTAAATCTGTGATCTTGGGTGCAAAACATGGTTTCCCCGTGGCTGGCTGGCATGTTTGAACCTGGTCTCTCTGTTCCGCATCTCAGTGTGACGTGCAAGGACAAGCCAGGCTAGGACACCCACAGGCCCTGAATGTCCAGCCACGGACTGTCCAAGACAACAGTGTTTAATGGCGGTGCCTTGTGGATTCTCTTCTGACTTCAGGAGAGGATGTGTGGCGAAGAGCTGGAAAGCACAGAGAATGGTCAGGACTGTGGAGTGAACGAGGAGGAAGCTGGGCTGCCCTCAAGACCCTGCTACACTGAGCTGGAGCTGCAGGAATCCAAGAGGACAGCAGCGGTTGCAGGACTGGTGGGGGAGCAGTGGCGGAAACTCATGCGGCCAAGTCCCTGACTCCTCTAGACGCCCATCTGGGCCTGGTCCAGAGGCCCGTCCTGGGATCCTGGGCTCCGGGTCTGGGGGCTTCTATGACCAGGAGCTGGTATGGCGTCCTTACTGTGCCTTTCTTGGGACTCTTTGAAGAGACGGTGACCACACACACCCTGCCTACCTCAGGCCTCCGGGTGGGCTCAGGTTCTAGAACATCTGAGCACGTGCTTTGTTAAGCATGCCGTGCTGTATGGGGGTGAGGGATTATTTTTGCAAGCTAATTTTTTTTTTTGAGTTGGAGACTCACTCTGTTGCCCAGACTGGAGTACAGTGGCATGCAGCCGCAACATGCTGGGCTCCGGTGATCCTTCTGCCTCAGCCTTCCAAGGAGCCGGAACTAAAGGCGCGCTACCACGCCCAGCTAATTTTTGATTTACTGTGGAGATGAGGTCTCGCCAAGTTGCCCAGGCAGGTCTCAAACCTGTGGGCTCAGGTAATTCACTCACCTCAGTCTCCCAAAGTGCTGGGATTACAGGCTGAGCCACTGAGCCCGGCTCGCAAGCTAATTTTTAGCAGCTTCAAAAGTTTTCTGAAGCTCATTTGTTAAACCCAGCATGGTTTCAAAACCTCAGGATAATTTGGTGAGATGGCACAGGGGCCACACGGATGTTTTCCTGAATATACCTCTCTCCTCATCTCAGGGTAAGGAAGCTCTGGGAGGGGTTGCAACGTCCCATCCCGGCTGCAGGAATCTACTTCCGGCTTGTGCACACCAGCCCTGGTGTGAGCGCAAGACCATGGACACCAAAGAGTTTTCCAGGGAGACACTTGCATTTCTTTTCTGGGGAAGTTTCAGCCACATCAGAAGCTCCCTGAGGGCAAGGGCTGGGCCAGATGGTGCCCACCCCAGGCCTTGAGCTCACATCTAACCCGGTACACAGAAGACACTTGGAATGGGCTCCAGGTGGGTGTCAGCCATCGCCTAACTTAGATGGGAAGCCACTAGGTGGGAATTTGGGCTGATGACCCTTCTGGCACATTCCCACTAGTGGCCTGGAGTGGAAAGACTTGTAAATGTTACTAAAAAGAGCAGTCTGACTCAAATGTGCCATTGGCTTCCTCCTATTAAATGCATACAGAGCCCCTGCATGGTGGCATGTGCTCAGCCACTCTGGGGATGTGGAGCCCAGCCAAGGACCCTGCTGTAGGTAGGCCAAGTTGCTGCCCCAGGGCTTCTTGCCTTTCACGAGGGCAAGGCACAAGTCCACGCTTCTCACAGAGCCCAGGACCTGCTCCCCAAGACTAGGGTGGTGGGTTCCCTGCAATTGGGCCCAGCCTTGCCAGTGTTCAGTAGGATTTTCCCAAGAGAAAGCTCTTGGCAGATAAGCCAAGTTCCAGCCCTTGCTTCGGGGCAATTGCAAATCCGATCATATCATGTTCAATGGCTGGGTAGAGCTGTCTCTCAGTAGCTGTGTGGAGAGTGAAGGGTGACAGGTCACCTCAGAAACAAGGGGGGGGCCCCACCTCACTTCTCTTCGTCAGCTGCTGGATGCTGAAGAGGCTGCCCGAGGAACAAAGTTTTACCTCTTCAGGGATGAAATAATGTCTCTCCTGGGGCTGGGACTGTGAGGCAGTGAAGAGATCACCAGCAGTCCCGAGTTCTGGGACTGTACCTTCTGTTCCCCTGAGTAGTCAAAGGACACATGCCGCCGAACCTGTTATTTATTCATTGCACCCAGCTGTCTGTCCATCTGTCTGTCAAGCCATCTTCCCTCCTTTCCTCCCTCCTTCCTCCCTCTCTCTCTCCCTTCCTCCTCTTCATCTCCCCAACTACTTATATCCTGATCTAGTTATCTCCCCATTCATTTGTTTCTATATCCACCCACTTATCCATCCATCCATTCACCTGCCTTCCTTCACTTTCTCTTTCTTCCTTCCATCCATTTATCTCCCATCTATCTCTCCATCCATCCCTCTCTTTCCATGTATCTGTTCATCCACCCATCTGTCTGTCCATCCATCCATCCATCCATGCATGTGTTCATCTACCCATCTATCTGTTCATCCATCCATCCATCCATCCATCCATCCATCCATCCATCCATCCATCCATCTGTCCTATTGTACAACAGACATTCCACATGCTTTCTCAGAGATAAGCTCTGTGCTGGGCACTGGTGATATCAGTGAGGCATTGCTATGCAAATGACCTCAAGGAAACTATGTTCTCTTTGAAGGGATCTTTTCTGGAGTGTTTCACTGGAGGTTTTTTCTCTCTTATACCCATTACAAAGAGGGAAGAGTCTAGTGAATAGAAATAGAGTTTAGAACTCCATACAGAGACATCATGAAGCACCTCCGCATTGGCATGTGGGCTCTCTGTAAGAAGGCACAGGCCATCAAAGTGGAGAAAGTTCTGCAGCGAGAGGGTGCTCTGTGGGTGACATCAGACATAACCTTTGACCTGTATGCTGTGAACACTGGGCTATCGGAGGTGAATGGTTAGTGTTTCGTGTTTACATGAGAATAAACTGATAAGAATGTCTCAGGGGTTTGATGAAATTACTTTTCATAAAAGAGTGCTCTCAAGGAAGAAAAACTGACATGTTGTTGGCTTCGTTTTAGGACATAGAAACCGACCACACAGAGTCAGAAGGAAACCCCTGGAGCTCAGAGCCGCCCCTCCCGGCAGTGCTGCAGCCGGTGTGAGCTCAGAGGCTGTGTGCCGGGGTCCTTCCACACAGGCCTGTGTGTGGGACTGCCCATCCACATGTACATGTGTGTGTCTGTGCTTTGTTGTTTTTATTCAATCAGTTTTGTGTTTTCAGTTTCTCTATGCTCCTCCCTCTTATTTTTAACATCTCTGTTGAGATATGACTTACAGACCCTAAAGTTCACTTATTTAAAGTACACAATTCAATGACTTGAGGATATTTACAGAGTTGTGCAGTCACCATCACCATCACCATCAGCACTCCAAAAAGAAACTCTGTATCTGTAAGGCAGGTGTGGAGAAAAGAGAACGAGCTGAGAACATCCCTAGACCCTATGAGCCTAAGAAAAGAAAATCTAATTTATTAGAGGGAAAGGAAAGGACGACTGGCCCTTAAGAAGAACCAGTAGCCTGTTCTTTTGGCGTGTCCCTCTTACACCCCCTTGCTGGGGTCTGGTGGTAACGTGGCTCTTGTAGTCCTGAGGAAGTAGGTGTTGGTGGTCACGTAGGCCCTAGATGTGGCCTTGAGAAAGCAGGCTGGGGCTGGTGGTCATGTAACCCTGAGGACACAAGTGTTGGCAGCAAAAACAAGATGTTGCTTAAGCAAGCAGGGAAAAAGTGGGGAGGGGTGAATGGGGTTTGTAACTCCCTTACAGTGTCCACCAGCAGTCTCTTCCTTCTTGCTGACCCCTGCAGCCATGGATCTACATTCTCCCTCCAAAGATTAGCCTCTTCTGGACACATCACATAGGTGGAATCATACAACATGGGATCCTTTGCAACTGGCTTCTGTCACATAGCATAATGTTTTCAAGGTTCCTCCGTGTTGTAGCCTGTGTCCTCGGTATTTCATTCCTTTTTATTGCGGAATAGCATTCAGCAATATACTTAGAAGAAGGCTAGGCTGACCACAGTGGCTCACACCTGTAATCCCAGCACTCTGGGAGGCCAAGGTGGGAGAATCTTTTGAGGTCAGTAGTTCGAGACCGGCCTGGGTGACGTATCAAGACTCCATCCCTACAAAAAAAATGTTATCCAGGCATGATGGTGCATGCTTGCAATCCCAGCATGCACTGGGATCATTTGAACCCAGGAATTCGAGGCTTCAGTGAGTTGCTATAATTACGCCACAGCACTCCAGCCTAGACAACAGAGGAGACCCTATCTCTAAAAAAAAAAAAAAAAAAGGCGAAGCCTGTCCCTAGACCCTATGTCCTTTTATGTACTTTGCAGGCAGTGGGTTTTATTGTCCCTGAGGGATGCTCTACCCCATACTCACGAGTGGGCTCAGGCAGTGTGGACAACCTCGGGACTTTTTGGTCCTTGGGAAGCTTGCATTCCAAACTCAGGGTCTGGCGGTGTGGTGCCCACTCACTGCTATGCACTAGGCCATTGAACAGGCTTTATTTTAGGAAGTGAGAAAGGGTATCCCAGCACTAGATATTTTGTTCTGGGAAGTCTTTGAGCACAAGCCCTTCATGATGAGGAAGGAATAAATTCAACTAGTTGGCTACTTGCAGGAATCTCAGGGGCCAATTGATTATGAGGCACTTTAAAAACATTTTCTTTGGGAAGCAATCTAAAAATCTTTGTCTTTGATATAGTTCTTTTTCTAGGGAGAGAATGATCAGCAGCTGGAAGTTTTCAAGTTCGGTGTCTGAGTTTTCATCTTAAGAAGCCATAAAATTCCTGGGCCACCGCCTTCTTCTCCCCTGGCTCCTTCATTTTACACAGGGCACAAAATATTTCCACGACAAAGCAAGAGAAAGAGGAGCTGGATACTCTTCTGAGCTCAAACCACGGCGATACAGTCATGGGAGGGCCACAGGCCCAGTATACATCCGAGTTGGGCTTTCTGGCTCTAGAAAGCCCGGTGTTATTTTCAACATCAGATGACCATAATTAGAAAGGGCAATTCTTTTCCCGGCAGAAAAATCCTGTAAGTGGCCACAGCAGCTGAGGTGCTTCTGTGAAGGTTTTTAGTGCCTGCTTACTCCGTTTAATGGAATTGGCTTATCTTTCGGAGTCCCCTTTCCCACCAAACAAAAGTCATCTTCAGATTTTCTAGGAGTCAAGCCCCTCTAACGGATTCTTATGACATGCAGACAGATGGGTTGCAGAACCTGTGAACTTGGGTGGTCTTGATTGCCGAAGACTTGAGGCACTCTTTCTTGGTGGGCTGCTGTATTAGTCTGTTTTGCGTTGCTACACAGGAACACCTGAAGCTGGGTAATTTAGGAAGAAAGGAGGTTGATTTGGCTCACGGCTCTGCAGGGTGCTGGCATCTCTTCTGGTGAGGCCTCGGGGAGCT